AAATGTGTCACGTATGACCGCTCAATCAGTAATTCCGACGAACCGGAGCACACCGCGTGACAGGGCACGCTGATTCGGTGCCATGCAGGAGGTCACGCTGGCAATCTGCATGTCCGCGATTGGATGGTCCGGATGTATTCCCGCGCGTGTGGACAGTCCGGATTTGTTCCCTCCTCAGGCACAATCAGACGATCACGATTAAACGCGATGAACGGTCCAGATTCGTTTTTTTTTTAAATGCAATTATACGATCCATATCAAACGCGATAAATGACCCAGATTTAAGAGAGAATTGTATAAATATCTCATTTTACACCGAACTCTAACTCTAGCCGTCAACCTCCCGCTGGAGAAGAAGAAGCAGACACCAATGAAAGGAGTCGATCGTCGCCTGCCGTCAAGTCGAAGCCACCTCCGATAGCCAAAAAAGATAAAAATTCTCTCATTCCCTCATAATTTGATTTTGAACACTCCTATGGCCAAATTGAAGCAAAAGAACTGGCGAATGAGCAGAAAATCGCGAGTAAAGTCTAGCACCGCAGCCACATAAAAAATCAAAAATTGCCTCCGATGAGCCCCTTCCTGATTTCTGTTTCATGCAATTTTTTCACCATTGTATTCACCATTCTATTTTCTATAGATTAACTGAAGAAAAATGGCCAACCGCGAATGTAAGTTGGCAGAGCCGCCGCACCAGAAAATTTTATCGCCAATAATTTTTTATTTTTCGACTTTTTTCGGCCAACCGAGATCCTTTAACTTGTTTACTCGCATAGATGAGTATAAACCAGCTAAAATATGCCAAAATTGACCGAAAACAGCCAGTCCAAGGCAAACCACCCCCGTGGTGGCAGTGTCGCCGTGCTAGAATTCTAAAATTGACCGAAAAAGATTTTAACACCGATTTTAGATTTTTTGAGATATTTCTAGGTACGTGAAGTGTGTTTTAATCTCCACAGAAAAATTTAGGAAACCTATGGACCATCAGTAGTGCAGTAAAAAATTCAGTATTTCGGACACCGATTCGGGTAAAAATCTCTCACCTTATTCCCTATTATGGAATTGAAATTCAATTATAAATAATACGGTATTTTGTGTAATTTAAAATTTTTCAATAATTAATTACATGTTACTAATGAAGGCAGAACCGGTTATTTATTACTATTTGTCATGTTTTAACGGATTGTTTGATTTTACAGTTTTAAAAACATGATAATACACTGAAATTGGTAAAATGATTCAGTTGTGTTCCTTAATGCATATATTACTTGTCTTGCGTGATTTACAGTTAAATTGTGAAACTGAAAATTAAATGTAACGACCTTGAAAATCTAAAAAGAAATATATAATAGTTTTAGTGCAAAAGCGAAATAAAATGTTAAGATTTACATCCCTTACACAATAACTTAAAGTACTAAACAAACATTATGGAACGAATTCTCTGAAAAAAAATACGAAAAATACGAAAAGTAATGAAAAATAGAAAGTATCTAACATCTACTCGCAATCTTCCTACGGATCGGACTCTGGAACCAGGTCATCTTGATCTGAAATGGTTAAATAAGGGATGATCTATATTAGCCCAGTAAGGATATCACACTATATCACCAGCACAGAAGTAAAGTTTAGTAGAAAATCAAAACAACTAATAGAGTACTAAATTTAGCAAATTCGTTTATCAATCATAAAATCATTTACCGTTCACTTACCATTGTGGAATTTATGAAAACAACCTATAGATGCAATAATATTATAAAGATCATAACTACATGCACAATCAGCAACATATAATATATCATAAATTTATATTCATTAACAATAAACTAAATCATAACCGGTTCTCGTTTTACCAGTCTACTAGTATTCATAGGGGTTCATAGGGGTGTCCCCAGTACACGTGAACCCTTTTCCTTAACAATCTCAATTACAGGGTCGTCCCCATACCTCGTCTGGTATGAGCCCCAAGACATTAAACCTCAATACCCCGTCCGGTATGAGTGTGAAGCGGACTGTCCCCATACTTTGTCCGATATGAACGTCAAATTACCAAGTCTCCATACCCTATCTGGTATGAGACAACGTTCACGGTAGGGTTCCCTATAAACTCAGTCCGTCCACCATCTCTCAGGATATCTAGTGAAGTTATCATCCTATATGTTTATTTGATCACACCCCTTTCTTGTTTTTCCTTAGTCTCCGTTACCAAATCAAACATAATCACATAAACAAATAAACATGCATCCGGTAATACAATCATGTCTTAAATTCTAAAATCAAACAGTTGTCAGATAAAACAGTAATACACGCATTTAAACTACAAAATAGATAAATCAGATATCATCATACTTCTAGATTGTAAAATAAATCAACAGAGAAAATGTCTGGTTCGAGCTTCATTAGCAATCCGTAATTAATTATGCACATCTATTTAATTTGTACAAAATACCGTATTATTATTTATTCAAACTTCAAATCTATGATAGGAAATAGGGTAAAGGGTCATTACTTGATTTGACACCAAAAGGCTAAATAGTTTATTACGCTTACGGGCAGTCCCTGGACTCCCTGAATTTTTCACCGGGAACTGAAACGTGCTTATGATACCTACAAATGTCCCAAATAAACCTAAAAATCAGTCCCAGGGTCTACTCGGCCAATTTCAGAAATCCGGAACGGCGGCTCTGCCATGCTCCGGCTACGGTCTGCCTCATGTCGGCCGTTTTTAGCCGAATTCGGTCGATTTTATATCGATTCCTACGAGCACACACGCTAAAAGGTCTCGGTGGACTGAAAAAATACGAAAAACCGAAACTCACCAATTGTGGGGCTTTCCGGTGCGGCGGCTCCTCCGTCTCAAGTTGCAATTGGGTGTTTCGCTTTGGTCAATCTGTAGAGAAGAAAACGGTGATCACAACAGAGAAAAAATTACATGAAATGGAAATCGGGAAGGGCCTCATCGAAGGTAGTTTGTAAAACTTCTCGCGGGAGCGCCGTTGGGCTTCGACGATATTTTCCGGCCAATTGGCCAGTTCTTTCACTCCAATTTGGCTGTGAGTGGGTTTAAAATTGGATTTCGTGCAAAAATGGCGAATTTTTACCTTTTTTAGCAGTCGGAAATGATTCCGGTGCGGTGACGGGTGGCGGCGGTCGGCTCTCCGGCAACTGGGTTGTCTTCTCCGATGAGGGGTTCTAGCGACTTGATCTGGGTCGTCCATCACTTTTGATTTGGACCGTTCAATCGCGATTAAATAGGTAGTGAATCTAGACCGTTCATCGCGATTCAATATGGGCTGTCAGTGCGCAATTCACTCTGGGTCATCCGTGTGCACGGGAACGGACCTCAGCTGTTGGATCGCGCGTACGCGGATCGGCCGCAAGGCCTCCCACGTCAGCGCCTCTGCCACTTGGTACATCTTGGTTGGTCGGGACTGCTGACCGGACGTCTAACGTGACACAATTTTTTTAAATTGCATTTTGACCTCCGATTTTTAATTTTTTTTTCAAAAAACACCCACAGAACCCAAATCTTCACCCATTTTCTCCAAAATTATTTTCAATTTAATCCTTTACCAATTTAGTCAATTTTTTATTAAATTAAAATAAAACAAAATATAAATTAAATAATTAAAAATTATATTTATTAATAAAAAATAAAATACAAAAAAAAATTATGTAGGTGTTACATTAAATGTAAACGGGAATTCTTTGATTAGTTGAATGAATGAATGATAGACTTACTGGATATCATGTGAGATGGTGAACGGACTGGGTACATAGGAAACCCTACTGTGAACGTCGTCTCATACCGGACGGGATATCGAGAATTGGTATTTTGGCGCTCATATCAGATGGGATAAGGGGACGACCCATTTCACCCTCATACCAGACGGGGTATTGAAAGATAGTATTTTTAGCGCTCATATCGAACAGAGTATGAGGACAGGCAGTTAATTGAAAATATTGAATAATGGTTCATGCCTAGTTGGGACATTCCTATGAACCCCTATGGATACCAGTAAGCAAATAAAAATGAAAAGTTGTTGTTCTGCCTAATTGAATATGAGATTATGATGTTGTTGAATTATTATTCCTATAGGTCAGTTTTGAAAATCTCACTACGTTAAGTATGCAATAAATGATTTTATTTTTTATAAATGAATTTACTTAAATTAAGAGCTCCATTAGTTATTTTTATTATTTTTACCAACGTTCATTTCTATATCGGTGAGTTGTGTAATATTTTTATTATGGTAGTGTAATTCACCCTTTCATTAACCATTTCATATCAAGAGAATCAAGATCCAGATCTCCATCAACAAACGAGTTGTAAATACTTTACCACCCGAACTCCCTTCAAATACTAGTGAAGATTGTCCTAGATAGCTAATAATTTACTTTGCATTATTTCTTAATTTTTCACTTATTTTTTTTTTAATAGTCATTATCGTACTTTTATTAGGTATTCTAAATTATTGTATAAACAATGTAAACTGTAACTTTATTATTTCACTTACGCATTCAATTTATAATTTATTTCTTTTCAAATTTCAAACTACTACATTTTTAGCATAATCGTTTTTGATATATTATTATCTAATTCTTAATTTATTTATTATGTTGTAACCAAATCTCAAAAGTTTATTTTTAAGTTGCTTTTATATTAATTACACAAAAGATAAAAGATTTTGTTATTTTTATAATAAAAAAAAATTCCACAAAAATTACGCCTTGAAACGATTTTGTAAGTTAAGAAAATTGAATTGAAATGAAAAAGAAAATGAAGACCAAATTGTAGCGCAATATATATATATATATATATATGACATTTCAAATAAAATTTTATATTTTAATTTAATAATAATAATAATAATAAATTTTAATTAATATGAACATTAATTACTAAATGAATTAAATTATAATTTTTCAGCCTCAGGTTCTAACTCAAAATATATTGTACCCAGAATTGAAGTCTATCAGGAAGAAACAAACAAAAATTACTGTGGTATAAGCAAGTGATTTTTTCACTTAATAAACAGAAATGACATCTAGCAAATTCAAAAGCAAAAAAGGCAAGATTATAGCATCATAGAAGGCTGCTACTTACCCTGACTAGTGAGAGAATTTTTGTCGGAAGCTTCTTCTTATTCGCTAAAATTTTATCAGAAGCTTCTTAACAGTTTATACCAGAGTTGCCTTGACACAAATGTTCATGGCGAACTGTTGTATTCAAGCATGTGATAGCTTATCCAGGCTCATAGGTAATTTTTCAAATTTACCAAACCATCTACAACTACAGTTGTCAGTTAGCTATGATGAGACAGAGCAATCCAACTTATAAAGTAAGCAAGATCTAATCATAGAAATGGGGAGGCAATCCTGGTCCAGCTTGATCCTCTAAAGCAGCCTACTACAATGTAGCCAAATTATAGATGTTGCTGCAATTTGAAGGATGTTGAGAGTTGGAAAATGAATTACCACTTTTGCTTTGCAAAGAGAGTGAGACTCGATGCGTAAGTTCCAAAAGCTCCATGCAGCCCTCAACAGTTTCCATTTAACTGTCATAACACGAAATTAGTTGTTAACAAATTCCTAGTCAGAACTTAGGAGTACATTAGTACTGTTGAAATAAATAAACTATAATCTGCTATCTTGGGTTTTTTATGGACTAAAGAAGGTTGTTTTTAATTGGGGGAATTAAGTCTTTAATTAGTAAGTCTTTAAGTTGTTTTAAGCATCTCATTATCGGCTATATAAGCTGATGCCTTCTGATTGCAATTCTTTCAATCAAATATGTAACCCACTTCTCTATGCATATTCTCTCTCTGGTCTCCAACATTCTTCTATGCTTTTTCTCCATCTCCTTCTATTTCTTCTTCTACTTTCCAGGTTCATATTTGAGGAACCTAGCATTCCTCAGTGAAACATAAATTGCCTGATTAACTTGGAGATAAATGATCATCATAGAAAATAACCAGAAAGGTTTTAAGATCAATAAGATTAAGCAGACAAGAAGTATATGGCAGCATTATAAATAGATAGGGATACCCTGCATAATGAATTCTTAAATGGCCAAGAGAATATTTCAAAGCAAAGGAAGAAAAGGGGCAGAAAAATTGCATACCAACAACTGCAGCACATGGGAACATGTCCAGAATGTCACCCAGCTTGAACTGACTTCATCAAGAATCTAAGGAATTTCTTGAAACTCCAAAATTCAGAAACTTCAGCGCTTAAAGACTTTGGCTTTTGTTTTTTTGAAATCCTCCGGACGAGCCAAATCTGAAGAAGACAAGCTCATCTCCTCTGAAAGTTTCATAGCCAGTTCCAGCTTTCCTGCCCTCTTCAAGTTACTGATTAATGATCTATAGATATATATTGATGGACGGATCTTTCTTTGTTTCATCTCACAAAATAATCTTACTGATTCATTTATGTTCCCAGATCTGCCGAAGCTATCAATCAGTGCTGTATAGGTGAGCAAATCAGGTTCAAATCCACTCTCGGTCATTTCCTTGAAATATACAAGGCACAAATCTAATCTCCCAATCTTTCTCAAGCTGTTTATTAGAGTATTGTAAGAAATGATATCTGGAAAAATACAAGCTTCTTTCATAGATGTGAATAATTCAAGCATTTCACTCGTACGACCAATCCGACCGAGCATATCTAAAATAGTATTGTAAGTTATCAAATCAGGCTTACACTTGAAGCCTTTAATATTATCAAATATCAGAAGAGCCTTGTCTACCTGCCCACATTCAGAAAAGGCAGAGATGATTCTGTTTACAATTATCGTGCTTGACGGGAAGGCCAACTCTGATACTTCCTTGACAAATCGAAGTAAGTGAGTATCATTGTCTGTCCTTATAAAAGCCCTAGCAAGGTAAAGATAAGAAGTTGAACTCAATGGTTTACCAGACAACAGTAAATGTTTGAAGATCTGAGATGAAAGTTCAGTATCATTTTTTTCACCCGCTGCTTTCAAAAGGATGTTATTTGCTTCAGGGAGAAAAATATTTCTCTCTTGCAGAGCTTGCACTAAATTAGCTGCAGTAGAAAGTTTTCCAGCTCCGCAAAGCTTTCTTATGTGAACAGTATAGACTTCTTCACTAAACTTTGAAGCACTTCTATCCAATGAGAGAATATGATCTGATAATCCATCAGGCACTTCCCCCAAGTCCGAAGAGGGCCTTGTTGTGAATGATTGATAACTGCCAATAGCTTTACTTAAAATTGCTATGGATGGCCAGATACCAATTGGGATGGTTGTGGTGCATTTCTGTTAAAAGTAGAATCATTGAGCACAACATTTAAAAAAAAAAATGTTAGAAAAACAAACAAGTGAAGTATCAATTAGGAAAAAGACACATCAGACAAAGTTCCAAATCAAGCTTTACTTCATTGAGCTGGAGTTCCCAGAGATATTAGAACCTCTATCCACTTACTAAATTAAAAATGACAAGAAGACAACTCAATGAACAGCTAAAGGTTAACTGGCATAAAACACTGACATCATCCCATTCCACAACTAGGTAATTGGCTAATGCCATAAGGAGCATGCATTTATTAAAAAGAATCAGAATACCTCATAAATTATATGTCAACCCCTTGAACTCTTTCACCAAAGCTTAATTAGGCTAGAGCAAAAATTTCGGTCTCAAAAAAAAAGGCCTAAGATCTACTATAGTCCGACTAGACCTACCAAATTATTCAGCTCGCTAGGCAATTCAGGGTAGTTGTTGCTAAGTTGGAATGCTAGTTGGTCATCTAATGTTGGTTAGTCACATTTTATTTTTCATCACATTTTTTTAATTTCAAAAAGAATGTGATGAAAAATAATCTAAAATATCCCATTGGCAATTCAAGAGAAGCTTTCCAATAAAAAATGAAAGTGGAACATATCAAGGAAAATTTCCATCTTGTGATGCAAATGCTAAAAGCTAAATTATTCCTCATAGAATCTTAGTAAGTTTTCAAAACTATCTATCTCATAGACGATCTTAGAGATCTGTACTCCGTTCATTATGAAGATCATTTACATTTTTCTTTGTCTACGTAAATATCAATAAGTTCTAAATCACTTCCTTTTCTCTTTTTAGCTCTATTAGACATTATTTGTCACTTAGATTGCTTGTGCTATCCATGACACTCTTCAAGTGTTTACATTTTTCATAACTACCAGAATAGTTAATAATTCCTTACCAATTAATTCAAATTCTACCAAAAAATCAATCCATTCAAAGGACAAGAAAAAAGAAAATTCAGTCAACCCATAGAAGTAGTTCCAACACGAATCACATAAAACCAAATGTGATAAGATAAGCTCAGCATATGGACCAAATATCCTACTAATAATCCCTCAAGAAAATTCTCAATGTCTCACTAAAATCTCACAGCAAAAAAGAAAAATTCCAGCTTTACTTTGATACTGCTAACTTATATAACATGGATAACCTCCAGTATCTATTGCCGAAGAACAATTTGTATATATGCAGATTGCATTATAACTGGAAACAGAACTACAAGGAATTACCGGTGGCAACAAGCCTGTTCTTGTTTTGCAACGGGAAATGTGCTTGAAGCACGAAGCAACAGGTATCATGCCCGTCTACTCCAGTGTTAAAATGACAAAGCATACACATTTATTAAGATTTCCGGCAAGGTGGTATTCTAATCTGAGCGCCATAGACCTGTAACCTGTTCTGTTATCAGTACATATAAACACAATCATAAAACCCAGCCAACTAAACCAAAAAAAAAAGGACTATATCATGAAACCTCAACAATTAAGAATGATATTTGAAAATGCCCCAAACCATACAAATAATCAAGGCAGCCAATATTACTAAGATGAACTTTTATATATCTCAAGAACAACTAAATCTGCTAGTTTCAGATTAGTATATGAACACATACAAACAGCCTTCAACAAACAAATCAATTAAGAAAAGTAAAAAGATAATATCAGGAAAGAAATAAAAGCTTTTGTTGATAATAAGTTATTATCAGTTAAAATAACATCATTTAATCCTCCAATGATATAATATTGCAATTGCTAAATCACAATATAAGCATATATACACGAGGCAAAAGGCAATACCTAATAATACTTAAAACTCAATGCATTTCAAATAACAATTTGCAGCCAGTATATAACACCGAGAAAATTAAATGGGTCTCCCCAGCTTTATCCGAACTGTCATTTTAACAAACAGTTAGCGTGCAAAGAGCTTCCATACGAGTTAAATCATTTGCAGACCAGTAAATTCACAGAACCAAGCATGATCTAGAGTACATACTACAGATATTTCGAAGGGAGAAAAAGCAAGAAATAACAAAGAAATCCCATGTAACATCCACCGTTTGTACAGAGAGATTTAAGCAAGGATACCAAAAATCAGTTCATGAGAAAGTAAATATTCATGTCTGTATCCATCGTTACCAGAATGTTTCCATTCCTGACTCAGCACCATCACCGTGGCTTGAAATCGATGCCTTGCTGCGAATTTTTTTTGGCTATTATGACATCTGCGCGCGCTTGACCGGGTCCGTGGTTGCTGTATAGAAGGAGACACGACGACTTGCGACTGGTGGTCGATCACGGCGAGCAAAGGCACGAATGGATTGAGAAATTTCTCAGTGGGGTTTGAACGAAATGAAATTTGAGCGTCAAAGTGCCGATTAATTGTCAAGAATTAATCTTTTTGAAAAGATTTCGAACAGTTCGTAGTTGGATTAAATAAATTAACATATTTTATAATAAATTATTAAATGAAATAAATTTGATTTTGATTCAAATGGGTTTTGCTTTTGTTTTACTTTGTGTTGACGTTATCATTTATATTAATCAAATAATAATTTTATATAATAATTAATTAATGTTGTATAATTATTTGATTATTAATTAAGTACTAAAATATTATAAAGGTAATGCAAACCATGGTAAACAAAAATCACCTCTGTAACTCTTGTATAAAGAATCATATGTATAATTAATTTGGTAAGGTTGTAAACGGTACAACCATAAGAACAATACACCATCAAAGATTAAATTTCACGACCCTATTACCGGTCAATACTATTTCACTTAATTTTTATTTCATAATCACATATTTCTCCGGTTAAGATAGTCAATTCATTATATCATCGACTACTAAATTATAAATAAATAGGATATAATAGTCTCGTATGACTTACATGATTGATTCTTCTAGTTGCAGATCAATCAAATGAAACCCTCGATAATCAATCTGTACAAAATCGTGCAGCCTAATTACAAGGCAAAACAATATAACATGTGACAGTTGGATGAATGTCATAACTTCATCATTCAGATAATTGCTCAGATTCATCAGAACCATCAGATGTCACCTCTGAGCCCTCTTCTTCTTCTTCTTCTTCATCAATCTCCACGGCTCTACTGGAAGTCATTCTGGATAATGCTGCCGTTTTGCTTGCCCTTTGAGAGCGAGTCATTGCAATGCCAGGAGTAGTGGCAGCTGCAAATTGAACAGTGGCTGGCGAGTCTTCTTCATCGGAGGATGTTTCTTCATGCTTCATGGGTCTCCTTGAGCGAGTTTGTCTTGTGGAGCGCGCAGCTGGTGTTTCTGGCACTGCTGGTGGTGTGCTTTCAACATCCAATTTGAAGTCTACACCTAACCTCCCTGTGAAAAAAGCATAGATAGATGAATAATATATTTTATTAATGTTTCTTGAAAGGTAAATATAATATACTAATAGAAACAAGTTTTTAGAAAGCAGACATAAAATCTTGGAGCAGAAACATTACAAGAAAACAAACCAAAAAAGCTGCTGATACAAAAATTAGCAAGGAGGTCCCACAGCTTCTCAAAAAGACACTTCGATTATCTCACTTTACATTTGATTAACATGGTCACTTAAAAGAAGAAAGTTGGTAATAGAAGCAAAGAAATTATGAGCAGCTTGAACACTCTCACAACATTCAAGCAAAATGTAGCAAAAAAATATCAAGCGAGCTTTCTTCTAACAACCAAGTAGTACTGCAAAACCAAGAGCATCAAAAAAATCGACTACTGCAAAAACAAAACTTGAAGGTCTTCACAAGAATTGCTTAGCAGCAAGGACAAAAAACAGCCCCTGCACAAAGAAAAATCATGAATAACAGAAACTACAAAAGAAAACTCCCACCAATTCTGCCGAAAACAGTATTTAAAAGACAAATTCATTGTATTACTAATATATAAGCTTCTTATTTTCGGAACACATTATTTATCTTCAAATTCTGAGACTACTCCGTCTCATACTTTTGATATTTTGCCTGCCATGTCTAAGTTTATACAAATATGAAGAACAATCTGACAAGACAACTAATTAAAAATCTAAAACACGATAGTTGCAAATTCAAGACAAAGAATAAGGGCCTATGTCCACAGGCTAAAAGATAAAGAATTGTTAGTACAATTTCTCTTAATTTAGCTAAGCTATCTTGACGCGTGATGAATGATAAGCCTGCTGGTAGATGAATGAAGTATATGCAGAGCAAAGAGCACAATCATTTTCTCCTTTGCTCTGAACAGAACCAAAGGTTTATCTTCCAAGAAGTTTCTTGGCTTCTGCTTCAAATTTTTGTTACACTTTTAGCTTTCAAAATTTTTTGAAACTAATCTTTCTATAGTTACCACATTCATTCATAGATTAAATCATTAAACAAGCATCATTTTCAGAAGACCAGAATTTACCAAAAATAGAGTTAGCTTGGTCTTGCAAAAGTGTCTGATCCGGATGTGTATCTGCAGAACTGAGACGTTCAGCCATCCACTTTAACTCCTTCAGAAGATCTTTCTCAGCTGAGACAGATTCAATTACACTAGATAAGAGCCTACGCATGAGCTTTATTGCTTCTTGGTCTGATGATTGGAAATGGAGTGAACCAAGTATTTTGCACAATGCTGAGACATATGCCCTCTCTGCAGGTGTCTTCTTTGCATGGAAGCTTCCCACCTTCAAAATGTGTAAGGAAACAAAATTAATGCATTGGAAATCTAGAAACATTTAAGGTTAGTAACTTAACTATCGTTAATCATAAGTATTTTTCTGAAAGATATTCCCTGACTATCATATGAAACTATAATTCGAATGCCAACAGCTTCTAAATGTCACCTGTAAAATAGGGATGCCAAAGATCTTAAGTGATTACAAAAGATTCAGGTTTAACTACTTATCTTCTATACACACAGCCCACACACAAGAAAGCTTGGAAAAAGCACAACCTCCTATATCTTACTTTGAAATTTAAATTTACAGTCACCACAACTTGTACTAATAACCTCTTATTCAGATATGAACTAATTGAATTGGATGACTAATTATCCCAAAATTTTAAGCCCATAGAAAAGACACTAACTTTATAATTTGTACTCTAACATCATCATCCTTGCTAAAGAAACAATTGAGTATCCTCATCTAGTGGAAGATATGTTATTAGGGACATTTTTAAATCAGACAGGTTTCACTTCCTCCTAAATCTTCTAACGAAAATTTAGATCAGCATACCCTTCTCTTGTCTACCAGAGAAAACAACTGATACTCAAATTTTTGGAATTCCAAGATTATGGAAGCATAGTAAGAGAGTTGATCCTCTTTTTCTAGAAACAATTCATGGCCATAAGAAAGCAATGCATGACTCTAAAATAAGTGATACTTTGTTCTGTTTCTAATAGGTGATATAGATGCTTTGTTCACACCGACTAGAAATCTGTTCATGTAGAACCAAAGAATTGATAGCTGACTGTTTATAGTAGTTGAACAAAAGAGGTTTTGATGATAGCAATTCTGACAGAACAAAAATTATGTGTGCAAGCAGACAAAAAGCAATGACAATAATCAAGGTAATCATAAACCTTCAGAACACGAAATTTGAAAGAAACCATTATCGTCAATAACACAAATAGAATAGTCGAATCTTAAGGCAAGAAGCAGTACCTCAGTAGCTATGCGTATTGCAAGTCCCTCTTCACCACATTCAAGTGAATATTGCATACAGTTATCTATGGTTTCTGGCAAATCACTGTTATGGGCTTCGTTCTCTACCTCAGTCTCTTTTATATATAATGGAGCCTGTATCATCTGCAGCATAAACTTTGAAGCTTGTACTGCACGCTTACGCATTTTTGAGACCACAGCTGGTGAACCTCCAGGATTGCCATTGATGCCAGGCCACATAGAGCGCATTACATGAAGAAAAGCCCTGGAGACACACTCCTGCATCACAAGATTAGAATGTCAATGCCACAAATATGTAAGTCCAAATTCAGCACAAAAATATTTAACTTTTTGTTTATGCACACACATATATTTTTAAGTTATAAAACAAACCAGAGGAACAAGTGTTACCTTATGATTCATTGAGAGGGAAGCATAGTGCTCAAAGAAAACAGATAAGCACTGTTTCAATCTGGTTAAGAAACATAAAAAAGAAAATCGAGTTAGAACCACTGTTCTCATAATATATAAGAGATTAAAGAAGGAAAAACAAAAACCAATCAACCTTTGCAGTTCTTTCGACTCATCACTGAAATAAATGGTTATGAGCTTTGCTAAGAGCACGGGGTGACAAGAAGCTGATATGCTTGGGTACTTCTCACTTAGAAGAAGAAATTTTGCAAATCCCTCCGCAAGGATGGCCCGAACTGACTCATTGTCATGACTTTCTGATGACTCATTCCAGTCATTATCCTCTAATCCAGAGAATAAGAGATCAAGTAATTTGACATCCAGATCTCCATCTGCATCAGAAAAGTTCACAGGACTATATTCCAAGTTATCCTTTTCAAACTGAGACAACAGGTCCTTTCCCATGGCCTTGTCAACCTCCTGAGGACCATGCCACATCCCAAGATCAATTAGTGCTTTGCATGCCATTATACTAATTGGGGGAGGACCTTTAGTAACAGAGAGTCTTAACTGCTTTACAAGCTCCTCACTAGGCTTGTTCTCCAGTAAACCAAAAAGACCAAGGCACCTAATAGCAATCCTTTGTACATCCAAGTGAACATGTTTTGCCTGCATTTCAATATCAAAACAGTAATGAGTTCCTTCCAGAACAGAGACTTTTATTGAATGTTTAAACAACCAACCAGGAAAGGTACAAAACAAAAGAATCCTTTGCTATTTAGTAAGCTGAATGTACTTGATTCACTTCAGCATGCCAATATCTCATCAGAAGTAAACTAGAAACTTCAAACAGTTGATGCTGTTTTCATGCTATAAATAAGATATTGGAGAAATCTCACACCCGTAGAACTTAATGCACATGCCCATAAGACAAAAGGAAAATGTGTAAAGCAAAACAGACCAGAAATATGTAATGAATCCTTACAGCTGGAAGCAATAAAGTATGTAGAATTTCAGCAGAGTCTGTAGCCTTTCCTTGGATCCAACGAAGTGATTTTGCACCCTCTAAAAGTAAGCCAGTTATGGCAAGGCTGTGTATCCACTGCATGAAGTCTGCCGTCCTTTCCCTGCAAGGTTTAGCTAGCTCTTCAACAACTCCAAGAAGAATTTCTTCAAATTCGCCAGCAGCAGCGTGAACTTTACGTACTAGTACAGACACAGCACCAGCCCAATCTTTGTCACCACCAAGGTTAATTCCATCTCCTATGATGATGTTGTTACCATTTTCATCGATTTCATGCTCAAGGGGCATTTGCAGCAAGTCCTGCACAAACGAACTGGCAACCTTCCTGATTGTGACATCAGAAAAATCAAGCATTGAACCAATCAATAATAGTTGCCTTGACGCGAAGCGGTAATTTGGTCCTGAAAGTAAAATGCTTATTAAAAGATTTCAGAAGTAGAATTTCATATTTTGTTGACAAAATTAACTTAACCAACCAGCATCTATATGGGCTTTGACCAAAGAAACATAGTCAGAAACTGTTGCAGGCAGAATCTGCTCCAGTAGATCATTGTTATCCGAAGCTTCTGCTGCATATACTGCTGCTTCAGTGCCCATCGTAGCTGCCGCATCAGAACCTTTTTCCTACTCAAACATTTTGTCATTTCACGGATACGGTTAGCTAAATGATGTGATAAGAAGAAATAAGCATGAACATTTTTTAGAAATTTCTTTACTATTGATCTTCATTTGGAAGGCATACTTAGTTGCATCTTTGCGCTGATTTCTACAAACCCATAATTTTTCCCCTTTTTCACATGCAAGCAATATTAAATCTTTAAGGTAATTGTACAAATCATTTTGAGGAGCTTCACAACCAATTGTTTTGAGGAGCTTCATGACAAATAACTTTACATCTTTAAGTTCAATTTAAACTATCATAACTTTTGTAGTCTCACAGATAAAGAATAAATTAGACAACCGGCAAATAGTGAACTGAAAAGACAGATCAATCATCTAAAAGAAAGAGATCATGTTCTTGACCAATGGTGTTGAGTTATTTATTTCAAAGCACTGAAATCCTTCATTAGAATTTAGAAATGAAATTAGCACAGCAAAATCTATAAGACACATATATGGAAACCAGAGAGTATTCAGGGTGTACTACATTGTAAAGAACATTCATTACATTAAAACTAAAATTGTTTCAATCTTGTAAAATAAAAAACAAAACATTTATCACTTTACAGTTTAGTTACGTTTTATATAAAATAAGATATGAATATTAACAATTTTCTATATGGGAAAAAATATCTACTACATCACGGGTTGAGTTATTTTGCTCTTTTTTTCTTTTTACAAAAAAAAATTACATTAAGTGTTTTTCGATGATCACAGACAATATTATTTTAGTAGCCTCAAAGTAACATAAGATAAAGCATAATACTGAAAAGGTAATGCCTAAAACCAAATTTTAATACATTACAAAAATTGATAAATTCTTAAAAAATGATAATAATGATAAATTGTATGTTTCTAAAAAAAAAATTTACCTCAGTTTAATTTATGAAACAATCATACAAAATAACAATTAAATAAATGAAGTGTAAAGTGAAAATATACCCATAATCTGCATTTTAGAATGTGAATTTTCATGTCATATAACTTATCTTATAGAAAAATATCATAGAAAGTGATAAGAGATATAATATTATCTTCTATAACTAAGAAGGTATTTCTTTAATGCGAATATTCTACACTTGATAAATAACTAAACCAATAAAACTAACTGTATGTCCTCTTATCTCCCATTAAACAGTAGATCAATTCTTAAGAAATCACTCCCGATCCACAACTATAGTTAACTATACAAACAATGGAAATTCCTAAAACACAAGGATGTAAGAACTTAAGAGGCTGCATTCTCAAACATCCAAGTAGTCAAGAAGGAAGAAGCTTGAAGATTGGATAGATAAGAGCTGAAAATAAGCATTCACTCAAGCTGTATTTGCAACAAATATATCCTACAAAAGAAGTGGGGAAATCCAGAGCCAGCTTTTCCAAAAAAGAAGCGCAGAATGACTTCATGGAAGGAGATAAAAAGTGAACTAGAAGAACCAATCTTTGAAAGAGAAAAAGTCCAAAGCCAGATATGCCACAAAATAAGTGCAGAGTTAATCTAGAAATAAAATTTCCTATGCATATTATAAATATAAAAAGGTCGATTTGCAAATGAATTCTACTTTTTGTGGAATTCATTTGTTCCAAGACTAATGTAGTTGTACTAGCATTTCACGAAACAATACATAATTACCTCATAACAATCTCATCAACATTTCTATAGGCGTAAAAAGAATTAACTAATGGATTAACAAAAGATCAGAAACCATTGATGGTGTACTAACAAACCTACTTGTGCTTTCATTTGCAAATGCCTGCATAGAGTCCTCCAATAGAGAGCAACCTCTGGTTCCATTAGCTGGATGCTGAGCGTGCTAAGCGTAGAACTCCCTATCATTATTTCGTGAAACAATTAAGAAATGGAAAGTAAAAACTGACCCATGGTACCTTTTGGATATAAGCCATGATAGGGCCAGGCATGTTGAGCTCATAGAAAAAGTGAAAATTCGACATAAGCTAAAGTGAAACACCATGGTAAATCAGCTTGAAATTCCCCTGAAATTTAATTCAGAACTACTTATACGAGGGGAATAAAGAGCTACAGAAATAAGTAGCATGACTCCAAATATCGAAAAAGGCTACCTATGGGGAAAAAGTTAGTTGGATTACTATGGGATTTCAGATAAACCTCATTCTCTTTTCCTCTCTAATCTGGTTCTTCCTTTCTGCTGGGTGATGATTTTTTTACTTGTTTTTTTGTGGTTTATTTATGGGTTCCTTCATTGCTGGGTTTTTTGTTGCTTTGTTTACGAGTTCATTCTTGGTTCTTCTTGTTTTGAATGTCTGTTTCTCTAGCTTTGGTTTGTTTGATTATTTCTTAAAGGATGTTAGTACGATATCGACAGAAAGAAATATATTTACTTCTCAAGAAAAAAAGAAGAATGCATAAATTAACAATAACCAACTCCAGGACAAACCATATCTGACATATACTAAATCCTACCACCTCTTGATGAAGCCAGACAGATAATTTTGACATGAAACAAGGTCTATGTATGCAATCTTTAAAAAAAAAATTGAATAGTTCCCTTTACAGTAGAAGAAATCAGGTAAATCGGTCAAAAGTTTACTCATCAAGGTAACACTCATTTTTTAACAAGAAAAACAATCTAAACTGAAAGATGACATACAAAATAACATAATCATTGGACCAAAACATGCTTCTGGATGTCATTAAGCTCTTTAACTTGTATGCCAAGGTAAATACCAACAGATGAACTGTTGGACAATCTCCAGCTTAGCTAAGTTACATGTAAAGTTGGCTGGTGTTAGCTTCAAACCATCACTGTTAACCATACCAGTTGTTATAGGCACTATAAAAGGAAGTAAGAGAACTAGAAAACTGATTAAACTGATGGATTATCTTAGAGCTAGCTAAGTTACATGTAAAGTTGGCTGCTGTTACCTTCAACCCCTACTCTCACTATCACTGGCATCATAGATACCATAGAAGGTAATAAGAGAGATAAAGTTAAGGAATAATACAAGAAAACAAAACATTAAGAAATATACAGAAAGCTCCACCGACCTCCATTTTGATCACAGGCTGATGATATGTATTGTTGGATACTTCCACATTCATGCAATTTTACTGAACCAGAACTTAACAAAGCCACCATGACTGACTCTCCAACTGATTCATATGTCTCAACATCAAGATACTTGAGAAGTTCTACAGGGTCCCCATTGCAACTCTTAGTGAGCCACTGATCTTTCATTAACTTTAAACATTCGTTTGAAACAGCTACACAACGATCCACAAGTCCTCTTTGAAGAATAATTGTCCTAAGCTTGATGCTAAAGCAAGAAATTGAACCAAAAGTTAAGATAAACTTCAGATAGATATCAGATGACTTGACAACTAAAATGAAAGATAAGCCTTGACAATATGAACTATGGTAAACAAACTCAAAACGGGAGGAAAACAAACTACTAGGAAGAGAGAAAGCTCCAGAGCGAATTTCTTAATATTGGAGATCGATCATTGCTTAACCTCTAGCTCAAGATTATGAGATATTGCCTAATGATATTTCTCTTTTTGAATTCTCTGACTAATAAAAACCTCAATGAATTACATTGAAGATGGCCAGCCAATCTTCATTATATAAATTAAGCTTTGCGCTAGCGAGTAGTTATACTTAGTGATGTATATAAGTATAAACGAGATGGTTATTGATATAAGTTATTGAATTACCTTAGACTCTGAAGAGGAAACTTATTGGCCAGAACACAATATGCTGCTTTACGCACGTACTCGCTAACATCTAGCGTAGCGTCAATAATTGCTTGCGAAGTTGAATTTGAAGGAGGCAATGATAAGACAATTGCCTTGCGAACCTCCTGTAAACATTCCATATTTGGGGATCTAAGAAGTAGCGTCTCGAGGATTCTTAGAGTTTAAAAAAATCAATAGCATTTTCTATGACAACACTCGCATATTATTTTATGTGATGAGAACCATTACGAAATGAAACCCCTATGTCAAACCACAATCTAGCACAAGCTCCACTTTTATGTGCAGTTATGTTTGTAAGAGACTCAAAACTATATTTTCAAGTTGAATTATTGAATTTTACAACATAAACAATTTTACATACATAAGATAAAAAGTTTTCAGGCCTTTCATATAAATAAGGAGCAACTTTTCAATATATTATGTCACCTATTTTTGTAATTCCCTTCAAGAAAACGCCACTCCAAGCAATCCTATCTATGTTTCAACAACATTCAGTATCACCGCTAATGGTAAGGTTAAATTCTTCTTTGAAGCTCCAGTTGAAACCTCTGTATGGCAAGTCAGCCAAAAAATTTGACTGAATAATTTGTTGATTTTGTTTGATGCATCACATCTATGAATAGCAGGTCTCAGGCAAAACAAATCTGCAAAATCTAGTCCACGATCTATTTACAATAATGAGGGAAGTAAATATCAAAATGAAAATTGTTCATATACCTTGGTCAATAGGGAAAAGTCTGTGGAACAAAAACTTTCCAATATACTTCTAGGAACTTAAAATATATATATATAATTACAAGTAATCAAATAGGAAGGAGGAGAGAGAGGGAACGGGACATACATACTATTACATCCTAGCAATCAGATACCAGAGTCTCACACCTTCTATTTTCTCTTTGTACATTAATATGTTTTGATCATATGTACAGCAAAAGACCATGCTTGTACAAGAGAACAAGATTCTTGATTAAGAATAACTAAATTTCAAGGAAGATAATATTCCTCTCGAGAATCAAAACCCAATAAGAAATTGGTTCATTTGACAAGGTTGGAAAACTCACCGCATTCTGTTCCAACGGTAGCACCTCCAGAAGCAAATCAAGGACGTCCATGTTCTCAGAATCGTTAAGAAAGCGTGAAAGCCCCCTAACTGCAAAGGTTCGGATTAAAGGAACCTTATCCCCCACTCGCAACCTCAGACATTCTATCACATCATCCCAAAGTTCATTGCTTACTTCAGTATCATCAGGCAACCGCAATATGATCTGAAAAAAAATATTGTCTTCAAGAAAAAAAAAAAAAAAAAGACTGGTGCACCCAAAAGAAATATGGGGATTTGCAAAGAAAATACAAACAGGCTGGATCAAGTATGACAGTGGAAACACAAAGGAAGTCATTAGGCAAAGAGGTCTAAGGTTATGTTTCGAATAAATCTAGAAATTCCATAGGATTTATTGGTAAATTGATTCTTAGCTCAACTAGGAAACGATGCAACTTCTATTAGAAATTTAAAAGATAATAAGACTCACATAGAATTTTACATGGCTATGGAACAAGACATAACTAATTTAATTAAAATTGATAGAATTTTGAAATATATTGTATCAATTCCACGTAAATTTCAACTTTAATCATTTTAGAGAGCATTTTCAATGTATTTTGATTAAAATAAGTGTAGATCACACATAAATTCGACAAATACAATGATTTTGTTTCAACTATAGCATTATAGAATATGATCAAGAAAACTCAATGAGGGCTGATTGCTGTGAATAAATAAATAAAAAGAAAAATATTCTCTAACATCGAACAACCTCAACTGAAACTGCTGCCAGAAGATGCGAAGGGTAATTTTAGCTACAAAAGGAGGGAAAAGGAAGACATAACGTCTCAGAACTTTTCCTTAAAGATGCGAAAGCTGAATTGATACAAACATTTGCAGTACCTTGCTCCCTGGTAACCCCAGGCCACAATCAATGTTCACTTTACTATTCCGGTAATTCTTTCTTCAAATGAAACCACCAAAAAAAGCAAAAAATGTGACATAATTTAATCCAAATAAGACAGTTAGAACGCCCAAAACCCTCTTCTCAAACAAAACTAAACACACTCAGAAGCCCATTATCATCCAATTCAATCGAGCCCTATATCCCACTTCCTCTAGTTTGGAGAAAATCTTTGCACCTATAAATAACACCTCGCATATCTTATACATTTCTCTCAATTTTCTATTATGTTGGCAGTAACTAACTTTTAAAAGAAAACAAAAATCCAAATCCAAAACAGATATCAACAGTACCTCGGATATGATCTGGCAACACCTGAACCTCGCAGTTTTATTGGCGGCCCCGGCACCTACGAGAAGAAATCTCAAGAAATCCTCCAAGAACACTTCGCAAGCAGAGATGTTCTCAGGGCCACGGATGCCAGTGAAGACAGAGACGAAGCGGACGACGCGCTCGGCGGAGGCGGTCCGGCGCTGTACCTGGAAGAGAGGTGTTAGGGTTTTGGCAAACGCGGCGGAGAATTGGTGAATGGACGCTACTTTCGATCGGATTGCGGCGAGCTCCTTGAGTTTCCGGTTATGCGTGGCGTACGAAGTTCGGGCCTCGTCAAAGATTCTCGCCATTTTCTGCATCAGTTGACTCTCTACTGCTTCCATCTCCGCAATTTTCCCTCTTGAAATCGAACTATTTTCTCTCCTGAAGAAGAAAATCCACCACGAACAACAGTCTCTGTAAATTTCTCTGTGAAATTCTCGTATGAGAATTGGAAGTAGCCAGTAGGAAAGTCAGATCTGTTTGAAATTCTCTGGCGAGGTGTTTTGAATTTGAGCGGGAGTTGTAAATAGTTAAAAGGAGACGGGCCCAACCGCTAGCGCCAGCACTCAAGAGAAAAAAAAAATATATATATATATATATATGTAATTATTTATGTAACTTTACGGAATAAAATAAATTGTAAAATTAATTTTATATTAAAATTTATTTAGATATTGAATATAAAATATCTTTTAATTTATTGTAATTAAAAACTAATTAAACATAGGAAATATATATTTTTAATAAAAAGAATTATTTGTAATGTAATGATATAGTCGGCATAGTATTTGAAAATAGATATAAAAATAAATTAGTAAGAAAATTACGTAAGTTAGAAGTAAAAATATATATATTAAATATTTAAATTACGTATAGTTTAAAATATTAAAAAAGAAAACCCAAGGTGGTCAATACCAATTGTTGATGGCTCGAGAAATTAAAATTAAGGCTACCGTGATTAATTAGAATTATGTTACCCGAGTATTTTAGCTTAGTATTCACTGTTTAGATTATTAGTTAACGTTAAACCTTAAGCTAATTACTTTCAAAATAAATAATTAAAAGAAAATTATACTAATAATTTTTAAATAAACCAATTAGTCCTCCGACCGGTCGGACCACTAATTCACAATCGACTAGCCGGTCCGACCCAATTTTAATAACAATGTTTAATAACAATGAATCGTATAATTGTTTAATAGTTAGTACTCAATTCTTCATACACTAAATGCATGCAACTCAAATAGCATAACATACCTTAATAAAACTTCACCATTCGAGTTCAATTTCTTTTTTCATTACCATCCCGGTGAAAGGAAAGAAAAACTTTGCCTTTTACTTCATTTTTTTAGTAAAAAAAAAAAAATCGTACATCAACTTCCGAACAAAAATACACAGAAAATACACAATCTAACTCGAATCTATAATCTTATTGTGAAATGTGAAAGTACCAACCTTCCGGGGAAGGATGATCCGTAGTTCTTTACACAAATTTAAGATGTTGAAATTTCTCCGTTCTACAGCAATCAATTATTGAATCCTGAATACTCAACATTAAATTTTTATCATATCAAAAGTGTTAAACAGAATTCTAAGGACGCTGAGAGATTGATCACTCAACATTAATCAAAGTCAGCCAGTTCAAACTCATAAAACATTAAAACAGTGTCAGCCAATTCAGCTCATAATACATTGAATCTTTAATACTCGCATTAAATCATAGTCAGCCAGTTCAACTCATAGGACATGACGATGTCGGACATAACCGGGTATCAATTCAGCAACGAGTCATAGATACACAAACAACAAACCACTAACAGTATTCTCTGGATTATTGTAGTTAACCTTTGCCATTGTCTACAACTTTTCATTTCATAATCAAACAAAGTTATATCACTTCCTAAACTCTATTCAACATCAATCCATTAAAATCCACAAAGGCCCTCAATAACACAATATTGGAAAACCCAGAAAATCATTAATGACAAGTAAAAACCATCATGGAAGTAATGTAGTCTCGACAAATAGCTAACAACCTGATTCATGATGATGTCGGACTGCTGGAGATTACACAGGACTAAGAAGCTGGTAGATTTGGGGCTTCGGCTCAGAGTTCATGCCAATGATGATGATGAGAGGAATGAACCCGTAGTGAGTGATGACTTTGGCTTTTTTCATGGTCCATGTGCTCCACTCCTTTACACACTGCATAGTTGATCTCTCCTCTGCTCCCTTTCCTCCTTTTGTTCCTTTCCCTTTGCTCTTCCCTGAAAGTTTAGATGCCATCTTCTGAATTTGCTCTTCTTTTCTCTTCCTCCAATCTGAACAATGTTATGACGTCAATGTAAAACCCAAAGTTCCTAAGGATACATATTCTTACAAGTATTATTATGGTGAGAGTTAGTAGTCTTCTAGTAAAATTAGTGTACACAAGATTTACGTATACCCAATCTTATAGTAAAATTAGTGTAGACAAGATTTTGCTCACAACCAACTCAACATCCTTCGTCCAGACAACAACTTAAACGCTCAAGAAGCAACATTAACAAAATAGATGAAACAAACTAAAGGTTCTGTCTCATTCCTTTCTACAACATAAGCAAACTAAAAGGCCTCATCTCATTTCCTCCTCAAACAAAAATCCAAAACTTATTAGTCGTGTTTCAGAATCTCGCCTAAGAAATATAACTTTCTAAATTTGTATAAAATTTAAAAGATACACATATGACAAGCAATTATCTCATATGCCAAGAATACAATGATGTGTTATTCCATTTTATTATTGTTAGTTGTTTCATAAATGAATCTGAATTTTATTGGTTCCTTCATTTTTTTCTTATAATTAATAATGAAAGGAGATAACAAATCAGCATACACGCATTATCTAAAATAACTCCTCTAAAGTATGATATCTATTGCAAAAGAAGAAAGAATCTTCTTTCTTTTCTTGTCACAATCTACTCAGTATTCCAGTGACATTAACATGTACAGCTATTAGCTGAAAAGCTTACGCAACAGTTACACCTCTCTGCAAAATTGACTCTCTTCCATCACTACACTGAGTAATTTAGCATTTACTCACGATTCCTTCTCTCTAACACTAAAAACAAATTTCTATACTTGCAATCGAAACAACTAAACACCATAACCAGATTGGTAAATGTTGGGGCTGACGCGAATACAACACTTGTTACTTAATACACGCATAAAGAAAAGCATACGTTTCCAACACAAATACATGAAACAATAACTAGCAAAAGGAGCATGTAACAATATCAAGAATATCCTTTACGCTTGACAGATAAAAGAAGCAAAACCTAAAACAAATTTCAAACCGAGAAAAATAAAAAACAGTAGCTCAATACGAAACAAGGTAACCAAAAT